TGGAGGGGCCTGGGAGCGCTGCACTGTACATTCATCCAAATTCCTTAAACCCCAAAGGGCGGCTTGTACAAGCCTCAAAAACCCTTGTTTCTTGAGTGTCATTGATATTCTTAAATTCTTAAACACCAAGGCCCTCCACCCTTCACTCAAACTACGAATCCCTGCATGACAGTTGAACCTTGACTCCTTTTGCGTCCGTGATAGATACAATGACGAGCCTCATGCAGCCGTTATAGGCCTATTGAAACGAGGCCTGACAAGTCGCTCCTGTAAATCCGCATATCATCGTAAGAAGCCCTTCTATATATCACCCTTCTATCACCCCTTTAAAAAAGGGGCCCTTATACTTATATTGTACCCATATACAGCTTGCAGCCCTACAAACCCTAACCCCAATCCCTAAACCCTCAACCCGAATCCCTCAAACCCTAAGCCCTAAACCCGAATCCATCAAACCCTAAGCCCTAAACCCGAATCCTTCAAACCCTAAGCTCTAACCCACAGAGACTCCTGAGACGTAGACTAGACCTCGGATGCAGGTGGAACGCCAGTCTCGGAAAGCAAAGGCACCAGCTTTCTTAGTTGAGTAGGTAAGCTTCGAAGGGGTTCCACCCTAGACCCCTATAGACCCTAAATCCTAAACCCATAAGGGTTTCATAGGGGTTTTATAGTGTCCGGGATGCGGGTTCTGCAGATTTTAGGGTTTAAGTAGAGCTCTAGTTTAGGAGTTTTATCGGATATAGCGGGGGTGCATGGGCTTTTATTGGCCTCCGTGGCTTTCAGGTGTGTTTTTGTTCACTTACGCGCCTTTCGGGTTTCAGGTGAATTCAGGGAATCTACAGTTTGTTTGAGTCACCAAGATTGTGCACGCAGAAAGCCCGCAACCAAGAAGCCATGAAGTGTACATGATATAACATGAACCCTACGAAGGACCAGCCTGAGTATGCACTTCTACTATGACATGCCCTCGAACACACCCTGGCATAAACGGCATGCAGGGCTTGGAGAGGCATGCGCTACTACATGAATGGACAAGTCTGCGAAACCTGTCGGACTATGGGATTGATAACATCCCGGACCCTCGAAACCTTCAAGCCCTGCACCCTGCAGTCACATGTGCACTGTGTACAGGTTTAGTAAGATGCCGGAATCATGACCGAAAAGACCTTCGCATGCGTGCGATGAGCTGTGAAGCTTTGTAAACTTGTTGCGTAGTCCTTGTACAACATGATTCTAACCCTAATCTTGAACCCTAAACCCTAAACCCGTAAACCCTAAACCCTAAATCCCTAAACCCTAAATTCCTAAAACCCTAAGCCCTAAACCCTAAACCCTAGACCCCAGACAGATCCCCCCTTAGAGGCAGTGAAGAAGCATGCCATCCGCTCCCGTGCTCTGGCTGCCGAAGGCCGGCAGATCAGCGCTCTCCGCAAGATTCGTTACTTAAAGGATGGTTTTGGGGTTTAGGGTTTGGGGGTTTAGGGTTTAGGGGTTTAGGATTTAGGGCTCTCCGCAAGATGCTTTACTTAAAGTTTAGGGATTAGGGGTTAGGGGTTTAGGGTTTAGGGTTTAGGGGTTTAGGGTTTGGGGGTTTAGGGGTTTAGGGTTTAGGGATTAGGGGTTTAGGGTTTAGGGTTGTGCTCTCCGCAAGATTCCCAGAGACTCCCAAACCCCCCCTTAATTAAGGAATCTACCCTAAAATATAATTAAGGAATCTACCCTAAAATATAATAGGAACCCGAATAAGATTTAAGGGATATTCCTTAATTATAAGGAATTTACAATAAGGCTTCTACGGCGGAGGGGGGGGGGGTGCTTAAAGGATCATGGGACTTAGTACCCGAAAGTAGGGTTATACGAATAAGGTAACTACACCTACGTACAATTACTTCTAACCCCAAATAAAGGTACTTGTATCCTTACTTACTAAGTCTAAGTCCCATGATCCTCCCTTATAAAACACATATGGATCCCTTTAAGGGAACCCTTTTAAGGAACGCTTACTTACTAAGTCCCATGTAGCGAGTTCCGATTGCTGGGGTTAGAAGAGTTTAAGGTATTTTAGGGCTTAGGGCTTGGTAGGGTTTAGGGTTTAGGGTTTCGGGTAAGGAGGTTAGGGGTGGCTTTGGGGGAGGAAACTAGCATTACTAATGCGACGACGACGACGTTGTTTAGGGTTTTGTGGGGGGTATGGGTAGGAGTTTAAGGTTTAGGGTCGTGGGCTCATTTCCCATGGCTTGCGGTATAGGCTGTGGCTGAACCTATCCCGAAACGCCTTGATCCCAATATCCTAGACCCCAACCTTCAGCCTACAAGACCCCTAAACCCCAAAAACCCTAAAAAGCCTTGAACCCCTAAAAACCCCTCTAAACCCCTAAACAAACCCCTAAAAGCCCCTAAAAACCCAACTAACCCTCAAAACCTCTAAGCCTCCCAGTCATTCTCGGCCCCAGGGCTTCGTCAGATGTCCATGGCGCCCGCCTCGGCCCCGAAGCTGCAAAACCGGGGCTCTCTTAAAAGGGCTCCTAGAAGGCTTCTATAGAGGTTCCCCGAAAAGGGTTCCTATAAGGATGTCATAAGGGCTCCCACAAGGCTTCCATAAAGGTAAGGCTTCCATAAAGGTGCTCTTAGAAGGACTCCTATAAGGATGCTACCCAGAGACTCCAAAACCCCTTAATTAAGGAACATACCTTAAATTATAATAGGAACCCTGATGAGACTTAAGGTATATTCCTTAATTAAGGGGTGTTGGAGTCTCTGGGTAGAAGGATGCTATACAGGTTCCTATTAGGGTTCCTATAAGGATGCTACAAAGGGTTCCTATAAGGGTTCCTATAGAAGGATGCCATAAGGGTTCCGAAAATGCTGCCCAGAGACTCCAAAACCCCTTAATTAAGGAAGGGTTTAGGGTTCGTTTTCCTTTCACACCCAGCAGGTTGATCCAACCATCCCTACTAAGGACCCAATCATTGTATGTTTTGTCCGTGACGTTGTTCCTTTATCGGTATTGTCGGGCCAAAGTATATACTATTTGGGCACATTGCCCCGTAGGGTACTTGTAGGGTAGACGCTGTTGGTTGGTTCCCTAGGTATCACCGAAAAGGCCACAACCGGTTTTTTGTACGGACCCTATACATTCTATTTTAGGGTTTACAGTAGTCACGTACAAAACAGTCGGTTATGGTAGTTGAAGGCAACCCTTCGCCCTCAAACTCCAAATCCGCAAGTCCGCAAGTTGCGAAACACTGAGCCAGGGGCCCCCAAGAATACAGGAGCCGAAAAAATTACCAATACTATTGTGTGTGTGTGTNNTATAAGTATAGCACAATGGGCCCCAAAACCTTGTTCGACTAGTAAGTATTAAATATTATGGCCCCTATATTATTCAAGTCAAAGGGTTCTTCTCAGAGCGCACCAGTGAGGTGTTTACAGGAGGCTTAGTGTGTTTATCTGGCGTTGAAGGATCTTCTCGGGGGGTCAAGGTGTTCGCAAGGGTTTACATGGCTTTGGGGTTCTCAGCCAAGGAGACTACCTTTAATCCTTAAATCTTAGAGGCCTTAGTCACCCTTATAAACCCTAAACCCTTGCTTGGTACCATGATCTATATCAAATTCACAGGTATTCGGCTTTCATTTGGGGTGAAGGGGCTTGAAGGTAATCCTGCAGTCGTTTAATTTAAGTCTAAACCCAAACCCCTAAGAAAAGCGACAGAATTGTCCAATACGCAAAATGGAAAAGCTATGCCCTCTTTCGGCAGAGGAGCACATGGCCGTCCAGACGCGATGGCAATCGGCGCAATACGAGTCCACGCGGCACAGAGAGATGGAGTGTGAGGCCCGTTCTAATGGGTGTTTAATTATATTTTTTTGCATGCTGGGTGAATCTAGATTCCCTAAAGCCTAATTAATCCCTGAACCCTAAACTCTAAACCCCAAACCCTAAATTAGTCAGAAACTCTGGGCCAGCCTCAGGGGCCGACGATTCCGTTTTTTACCCTAAGTCTAGAGGTCAAAGATATCTATGGGGCTCGGGGATTTGGCTTCAAACTTCGTTTAGTGGCTCGTGGTTCAGAGTCCTAAACCCTAAGCCCTAAACCCTAAACCCTAAATCGTCAAGGAACTGCATTCATAGTAAGTCATCCTAAGGCTCCATGTACTAAGTTACCTTTAAGAGTTCCTTTAAGGGTTCCTTTAAGGGGTTTAGGGTTGAAGCGTCCATGTGCCTTTTTGGTGTCTACCTTGGCCTTATATAGGGGGTTTCTATATAGGCACTTTACGGCTTAAGTATACCCCTCAACCCGAAACAGCCTAAGGCCTAAACCCTAAAGCCTAAACCCAAACCCTAAACCTTTCAACTCCTAAAACCTAAACCCTACTAAACGGGTACATGGAAGGGTTTACTGTCCACACGTCGACAAACGGACTTCCGGAGTGAATAAGTTCGGGCTTGCACTTGTTAGCAAGGGTTCTAGGTCCCCAAGTCTGTTTCCTTTGTGTGTTCTACTTGTTTTTTTTTGCGGGTATTGCCACAGAGAAGAGTTGTTTAACAGGTTACCCTTGGGTATACCGGAGAGCCCAGTAGAGCTCCCACCTTAATTCTGAGCAGAAAAGGCAAGCCCTCAAACCCCAAGCAACAAAACGTATAAACCCAAACCCTACGCAAAGAAACACATAGGACCCTATATACAGCTGAAGCAGCACAGCTTTGAAGTCTTTAAAGCCCTAACGCCAAAGACAGACAAACCCCAACTTTAAGGCGTAAGTATGAAAAAGCAAACCGACCCCTCAAAAGTCCTAAGCCCTAAACTCTAAATCTTAACTCTATAAACCCTAAACCCTAAGCCTTCAACATATCTGTATAGATATATATATATATAGATATACATATGAGCAAACACATAAATACATAAACATATACAAATATATATATATATACATACACGTGTACATATGTGTACATGGACCCCTGGGGGGAGAGAGGCCTTAGACCGAGCTGCCGATGTCGTTCTGGCGGACGAAGAGTCGGACGAGGCCGAAGCCTCAAAGGCAAAGGGGAAGTAGTTCTCTCAATTACTAGGGTATAGGGTTTAGGGTTTAGGATTTAAGGTTTAGGGTTTAGGATTTAGGCTAGGGTTCCCTTGAAGGGCCCATGTGGGTAGTTCTCTAATTACGGTCCCTTTTTAGGTCCCCAATATAGTACGGCACTCTTATGTACGGGACCCTACAAAGTGACCGCAATTTAGAGAACTACCCATATGGGTTTCTGTAAGGGGTCTGTTAAGGTTTAGGGTTGAGGATTCGGTGAGGTTCCGTTTCCAGATTCCTTGGAGGATTCTTTAAAGGGTTTCTATAAGGAGTACTATAAAGGCTATGAAGGGGTACTTTATGACTTCTCCTTGTACCCGTCGAAACACAAAGCTGGCTGCACTTGCTTGGGGCCCCCGGAGCGACTTCAAATTCCTACGGCCCTGTAATTTAGGGCTTAGGGTTTACATAGGGTTTAGGGTTGACATAGGGTTTAGGGTTTACATAGGGTGTAGGGTTTAGGTTTTACATAGGGTTTCGGGGTAATAGGGTTTAGGGTTTACATAGGGTTTAGGGTTTAGGGCTTACATAGGGTTTAGGGTTTAAGGTTTACATAGCGTTTAGGGCTTAGGGTTTACATAGGGTCAAGGGTTTAGGGTTTGCATAGGGTTTCGGGTTAACGGGGTTTAGGGTTTACGTAGGGCTTAGGGTTTACAGAAGGTCTAGGGTGGGTTTAGAGTTAGGGCTTACATAGGGTTTAGGGTTCAGGGTTTCGGGTTTAGTGTGTACACAGGGTTTAGGGTTTACGAAACCAAGAACCTACGTTTTAGGGTTTACGGCGTAGAGCTTTTAACACCGGAACCGAATGGTGTACCGACAGTATACTAAGGACTCATGGCCCCAAACAGGGCATTTGCAGCATGATGCCGGGTAGTGGGGGGGGGGGAAGAGGAGGAGGAAACGGAGGGGGACACCCCCACTGCAACCTTTGAGGACAATGCGATGGTGCAGACGGCGCAGCTCATGGGTGCCGAGGCGGGACCCCTTCCCTAGGGTGTTGAAGAGATAGTACCTGTTGTCTCCATTGTAGTTCCTTCTTTTGGTTGAACCATTTCTATCTTAAGGATTTTTATAAGGTATCCCCCAAAAAAGAACTACTATGGAGACTCTAGGTAGAGGTGGTTGAAGGGGTTGTGCTCATGCTGAAGTGCAAAAACAGGCATCGTAAACATCAACGCGACACCACTGTAAGGAAGGGTCTAAAGATGAGTTTTGCCGGCTGAGAGGAGGACGGACAGGATTAAGGAGGGTAGCACGCTTGAATGTAAGGGTCGTGAATGTTACTGGCCAAAACTTAAAACCAAGTATGAAAAGTCTACTTGCTGCGATCCCTGACCCTCCAGGTCCGCGCATAGTCCTCAAGCCGTTCGCTTGTTTTCAGCTGCACCCAGAAACGATAACTGTCTGGGAGAGTAGGCACACAAACCTGTGTAAAGTGTGTTCAACAATTTGACGATTTCGCGGCCGTATCTGCAGATGGCACAATACCCCCTTCATTGGTTCAGATATATTCCTTATGTCACACAACCATAAACATAAACGCAAAACCCTAAATCAATAACAAGTCTCATACACGATGCTGCAGAGCCCTTTGTTACAAGATGTTCGGCTCTTTGGATCCCAATCAATCTCGCCGCTTGCAAGTTCGGACCATGAAAAGTACAATGGGGCTTCGGAGTGGGCTTGATAGCATGAATCTTAGGGTAATTCTATAGACCTAGACACATAAATAGCAACCCTCAACCCTAAACACTAAACACCTAAACCCTAAACCCCTAACCCTAAAACCCTAAACACCTAAACCGTGTCATTTTCGACCTGCACTCCAGGGCCTGGGTTCTTAGTCCTTAAACTTGTGTGCAGACCCCACTTAGGGTTTAGGGTTTAAGGATTAGGGTTTAGGGATTATGGGTTAGGGTTTAGGGTTTAGGGATTGCAGTTTAGGGTTTAGGGATTAGGGATTAGGGTTTGGGGTTTAAGGATTGCGGTTTAGGGTTTGGGATTTAGGGATTAGGGTTTAGGGTTTGGGATTTAGGGATCAGGGTTTAGGGTTTAGGGGTTAGGGTTTAGGGATTAGGGTTTAGGGATCCAACTCCCTGCCTTGTGGAAACATACCAGGGTGGCGCCGCTGGGCTCCACGCATTGGGCAACGAAGGGCTGACGGATGCGGCTCCACGCCGCCCCACTGGCGTCCCGGCGGCAATCTGCAGTGGAGCCCTTTGTGCAGTTATCCTAATCCCCGAAACCCTTGAACCCTAAACCCCTAAACCCTAGACCCTAGAGCTTTCTCACCCTAATGCGTATCTAAAGACATGTTGGGCTGTCGAGAAACAGAGAAAGATCGCAAGAGAAAAACAGAGCTCAAACTTGAGGCTGGAGGGTGCTGAGTTGAGGTTTCCGCAATGCTAAACGGATTCTTTAGGGTGTAGGGTTTAGGGGTTAGGAGGGTTTAGGTGTTTAGGGGTTTGGGGTTTAGGGTTTAGGGGGTTTAGGGTTGAGGGTTTAGGGTGATTCCGAGGTTTCAGACGAATAGGCCCAGAGACTATGGCTACTATCTACTTCTCCACCAGTTAAAGTGGACACATCAGTAGAAGTGGTTGTACGCGCAAGACTTCACGTAAATACGGCCTGCAGGCAAAGCCAGACAATAATGTGTCAAATATAGTACGCAGGCTTTGAGGGGTCGGGGTTAGAATGGTTTTGCGGCAGGGTTTCACAGTTTGTTTATACGGGCTTTCAGGTTTTGAGCTCAGGGCTCAAAGGGGACCTAGAGTCTGAGGTTTAGGCTTTGGGGCGTGGGTTTCGGTCGGCGGGGTACTTAGTGTCAAAGTATTTAGGAGAGCACGGAGATTTCAAGCAAGCGTCATTAAGAAGGACTTATGCAAGGAAGCCGGGGAACCTCGAGACAGGAAGGTTTATCCAGAGGGTCCACATACACTACCATTCTGGAATTAGGCCCCCCAAAACCATAACAGGGATGGTCTTTGGGTGCCTGATTCCAAAATGGACCCTCTGGGTTATGGGGTCGTCCAGGTAGTCAGTAGCCGTTAGCGGGTTCCCGAAGCCGGGATCAGCAAGGTACTCTTTCCTGTGCCGTCCATGTACCAAAAATTCTGTAGAATATGCTGTGGCCTTGAATTTAGTCCCTATATGGGTCCCTACATCCTCAACCCTAAAGTGGTACTGTAGGCCCAAAGTAAATATATTATTTGGGTACATGGAGCGCTTGGGGTTCTCGCTATGGATGCGCGACATGCTAGATGGGATGAGCATTAACTTGAAATGCGTGCTCTACTTACTTGGAAGTGGCAGGGGGACTTGTAGGTATAATTCCACTTCAAATTGCAGGTGGCTCACAAACTTATAATTGTAAGTATACGGTTCGAAGAAACCTGAAGAAGCCTTGCTAGTTCCTAGCTTCGATTTTGCTTGTCCTTCTTGGCTGACATAATGGAGCATCTTCTGAGATGTGACTAGCCCGAAGCGCAAAGCGCTTAAACCTCGCAGTAAAGCCATTAAGGTCCATGACCCTACATTCTTGAAGCCCAACCAGCACCCTAAAAGCCTCAACCGCTCAACCTGAACGCCACAAATAAAACAGAAGCCCACCTCAGGTGGGGTCGACGAGCTATTGAAGCAGCTGCGGACAGAGCCCACCGACGAGACCGAATGCGCCGCCAAGTTCATGCTCTACGATCCATGGAAGATATGAGGTTTGCTTTTGGGGATTTAGAGGTTCAGGGCTTAGGGTTTAAGGGTTTCGGGCCGGAGTGGTTGAGACCGGTGCTGTTGCTTTTGTTCTTCTGGGTGGGGTTTGCAAGTATTTAAGATTGCCGGGTTTAGGGCGAAAGGGGTTCGGGGTTGGGTTGCGGGTTGGCTTTTCAAGGACTCTTACAGGGTTTAGGGTTTAGGGTTAATTTTATAGGATTGTATGAAGGGTTTTGAGAGTGTGGAAGGTTGTTGCATCCATGTTCAGTCCATGGCCGTGGCCCTGTCCTTTGCAAGGTGAATGATCAAAAGTCACAATGTCTACCCTAAACCCAGATCCTTGACGTGGATCAGAAGGTGACGGAGGCCCACGTCGAGTCGCGTGTGGTGCCCAATGTCTTTGTGCTCTTAGCAAGGCTGCTGAGTTGCAGGAGCGGCAGCTTGAGCTCATGGCCTTCGTGACCATGGCATTGCAAAATTCGGAGGAAGGCCAGGCCGAGCAGAGAAAGCTGCAGGCGGCTTTCTTGGAACACGTCGCGGAGACCATGGGGAAGGAGATGAGCAATGCCAGGAGCAGCGCTGGTCAGGGCAAGAGACGGCCGCCTCGGGTCAGATGTAGTGTCTGCGAGGCTTGCTCGGGGCTCCGGAAGTTGGGCGGCAGAGACCATGCGAGACGTGGAGTGGAGCGGCCACCCCAGGATCTGCAGCACCGGCCACTCCAGGAAGGGCTCCATCGACTCCACGCCTATTGGATGCCTCTGCGCGCAAAAGAGGGCCCGAGGCAAGGTTTCTTGGTCGTGAGGCTGTCAACCCCAAGCACTAGAAGCTGTAAGCCCTATGATAGACTCTAAACCCTCCATCCCTAAAGCCCTTGACCCTATAAACCCTATAAGCCCTAAAACCCTACAAACCCTAAAACCCTATAAACTCGAAACCCTTCCGAGTTGGCGTCTATTTATCAGTTTAGCGCTTAGCGCCTAGACTCTGCGGTTGAGGGCGCAGAGACTCCGAAGGCCGCATCAGGATTCCTCAAACTATGGAGGGATCCCAGGCAGGGACTCTTAATAGGAAACCCTAAACCCTAAACCCCAACACGTAAGCCCTAAACCCTAAACTCCTAAACCCCCATACCCCTAAACCTCTAAACGCTAAACCCCTAAACACCTAAACCCCTAAAGCCGTAAACCCAGATTCAAGGGGTCCTCGGAGTCCCTGGGAGTCTCTGCAGCTTCGTTTCGGGGTTTTGGGTATTGGGTTCTCCAGGGCTTTAGGGTTTTTAGGGTTTAGGGTTTTAGTGATGGTAGGGTGTCCTTGTGCCTGCAGATAGGGAGGAGCTGAGATGGCATCCAAAGATTCGTGAACCTGATTTAGGGAATTATTTAAGGCAAGTCAAAACAGGGTTTGAAGGTTGAAGATTGCGTGAAGCTATGTGCGACGTAACGATTGGTGTAAGCATGGTTTGGTTGTTGTTGTTTTATGTTTCACATATCTGATCAAGCCCGTGCAAAGAGTGCCGTGCAGAATCCTCCGGGTATTTAGACCTTAACATCCCCTTCACCCTAAACCCCCGACAGCCTAAAGCCTAAGGAAAGGCGACAAACCCCGAAAAAAAAACACACACACACACACAACACCTGCACCCTATTTTTCAGGAGTATAGTGACTACCCTCACAGCTCTTTGGCCCATTGCCTTTAGTTGCCTTGGGAAACTGGAGAAGTACGACTAGCTCCCAGCCTAAACCCAAAACCCTAAACCCTAAACCCAAAGTAAGAATAGCTCCTAGCCTGCCACCAAGTGGGACTTTCCGCAAATTAGGGTACCTGATTTTGGGTCCTTATAATAAGGATCCTACTATTCAGGGTGCTATATTAGGGTCCCCTATTTTCGGAAACTCCCAAGTCTACCAGGAAGGCTACAGCAAGGAAGTGGAGGAGGCAACGAGGGAGACCAAGTCGAAGTTTCGGCCGCTTCGCGTTTAGGATGTGGGGTTTTGCGCTTAGTAAACCCTAAACCCCAAAAAGGGCTTCGGGTTTCCGATTTGGGGGTTTCTGGCTCAGAAAAATGGGGCAGTTTGAGGAATTTCCAGCACTGGCGGACCGCAGTTGACTTAAGGTGACACCCTGAACCCTAAACCCTCCTGAGTGACTCCCTGTAGCATGCCGGGCTGCTGTATTTGAAGGACCTTCGAAGGCTTGCAAAAATACAGCTGCCGGTGGCAGTTTCCAAGTCCTGCCTTGTGGTTTCTTTCTGCCCCAAACCCAAACAGGATTGAGGGTTTTAGGGTCTTGGGTTAAGGGCTTAGGATTCCGGGTTTTAGGGATTTAGGGCCTTGCAGCACCAAGCACCAGCCGGCCCTCAAACAAGCATTTGGGCCGGCGCGCGATGCGAATCCGAGCCGCGTGTGCAATGTTCAGGCTGCATTGGATGTGGAGGGTTGGCCCTCTGAGCCTACTTCGGAGGATCATCTAATTAAGGTTAGTAGTTAGAAGTACCTTTATTGGGGTTCTAAGTAGCTGTAAGTATGGTTACCTTATTCCACACTTTACTTACTACATCCAATGATCCTCTAAGTACAGGAGCTTGCGCACCCAGTGGGTTCAAGAAAAAGCCCCTGAGGCCCTCCAGCCTATAACCCTCAGTATAGGGTTTAGGGCCTAAGTATGCATGACATATCTTCGTCATGAGTTGGGACATTCCCCCGATACAGACACAGACAGTCCTCCAGCAGAGATCTGGCAGACATAAAACGTACCTACACAAGCAAAGTGTTCTTGTAAGCGGAGGTAATAGTACCTTATGACTTATGACTATAAGTCGCATAGGTGTAGATACCCGGAGTACAACCCCACTTGTTAAGTCCCTTGATCCTTCCAGTAGACATGTCTGGAAATCCAAGTAGCAGTTTGCCACCCTCTGCTTGAGTGCAGATGCGCTCGGCTCTCATCAAGTTTCACGATGCGACTTGGCTTGTTTCCCACAGGTTTTGCAGTTGCTTAGGGTGCAGGAACCTAGCCTTTCAGTCTTGCAAGTCTTGGAACCCTGTTTTTATGTGTTTCTATTACGCCTCTGACCTCGTGCTGACCCTTACCCAAAACGTTCGTCGCCTGTTGATTTCGTTTTTATGACGGCTCCTGAGAAATGAGGATTAAAGGGAGCCCTGCATCCTTGTGCATACATCAAACTCAGCAGTAGCCCCCAACCGAGAATTGACTACGTGGCACGAGTCACTCTAGCTATGACGGGGTTTCAACCCGGAATCCTGACAAACCCTAAGCAACTGTGCCTAAACCCTAGACCCCTAAACCCCAAAACCCCTAAACCCAAACCTTAAACCTGAAAAGTGCCCTTCAGACGCGGCTTCGGGGTTTGCTTGCTTGGCAAACCGGAAGAGTCCAACACCGAATAACACAGCAGAAATCCTACGGCAGACTAGGCTCCAGGTTGTTTTAGGCTTTAGAAGTTTAGGGGCTTACGGTTAGCTACCTAGGGTTTAGGTTTAGAAGTATAGGGGTTTACGCTTAGCTACTTAGGTTTTAGGTATAGTTTAGGGGTTACACTGAGGGTTTGAGGTGGCCAAAGAGATGAGTTCTGTTTAGAAGGTTCCTTTAACCCTGAATCCCTAAATCCTAAACCCTAAACCCTAAACCGTAAACCGTAGTGCATATCGCTGAACGGCTTCAAAAGACCAACCCAGCAAGAGTGGTTCAGGCTTCGAGCTCTGGAGGTGTCGGTACTTGGAGGTTCATGGATAGTTATAAGTAGGGTTATAAGTCCCACTAATATGGGTTATATTTATAGTTACCCTACTTATAAACCCCACTCATGACTACCCATGAACCTCCAAGTAGAGTTGCATCTACGACCTTTCTTAAAGGCTTCACGGGTCAAGCGAGCTAGTAAGTAGGGCGAAGAGCATTAAGGTAAGAGACCTTACAGGTACTCCCAGGCAACCCCAACCTCGTTTCAAGTACTGAAGCATTAAGATTCTTACTTCTGAGGCCGTTAAAAGTGCTTAATTAAGACTTTCTAACATATCTTCCAACATAATATCTGTGTGCTCTATTTGCAGATCAGGGATCTCAGCAGCTAACTTGCCCTTCTGGCCTGATTTGGGATGTGGTGCGATGTGTTTCTGCATCAAAAGACGAAGACATCTTCAACTCAACCGCTGCGTTTGTAGCCACTTTAACCCACATCACTAGAAATGTAGGGTGTAAGATAGGTGGCTATAGCCCTTAACCTTGAACCCGAAATACAACTTAACCCCTAAGCGCTAAACCCTAAACCTTAAACTCTGAGCCCTGAACCTACAGGGGCTTTGGATTGCAGGTTTCAGAGGCCCTCGGCACTACCGCCACGCCCCACACCCAAAGCCACCCCCAAATCCTCACCCTAGAAGGGGTGTTTGGGGGTCTTAAGGATCTCCTAGATTACTTCTTAAAGAAGAGTCCCCCGATTTTCGGGGTCTAGCAGTGGGTTCCTTTAGAGAGCTCCGTAAAGGTTCTGTAAGGGAGCTATTGGGGTTTAGGGGGTTGAGGGCGGACTTATAGGATCCTGGGATTCCAGTACCCAGGGTCATTGATGAGGGTAGCTCTACTGATAACTATTCACTAGGGTTTAGGGTTTTTAGGGTTTTAGGGTTTTGGGTTTTGGGGTTTAGGGTTTAGCGAGCCCCAATCAAGGCACTTATAAGCTTAGTTACGAAGTCCCACGATCCTCCGAGTAACTACCACACCCTGCGTCCCGCAAGGCCTGTCCAAACTAGGGTCCGTTTTCGGGTTGGCGGTGTTGCATAAGCCCTAACCCTGAACCCTCACTTAAAATCTTAGAAGTGGTTTAGGGTTTAGGGGTTTAGGGTTTGTTTGGGGTTTAGCGTTTAGGGGTCTAGGGGTTTAGGGTTTAGGGTTTAGGAAGGAAATCACAGGCCAGCCGAGGTCAGAGAAAACCCTCAATCCAGCGCCCCTAAAACTCTAAATCCTCAGCT